GATTGTGTTTTTAGATTCTCTTTCTGAGAGTTCATTATTGGTGTACAAAAATGCCCTCGATTTCTGACTGTTAAATTTGTAGCCCGCTACTTCGCCGAATGCATTTATTAAACCTAGCGGCACTTTCAGCAATAAAGATAAGATTTTTAAAAAGTGAGGATTGGTTAGATTCTGAGAAATGCGTCTTCTCTCCAGTTAGAGCAGATTCTGTTTTGTCCTTTCCGTTCATGTCCCAGTTTTCACGGATGCGAGAATGTTCTGTGAGGAGAGAGTGTCCCCCAAATGGCTAGTTTCTCGGAGGCAGATGGTAAAGATTTAGTATAAGGAAGCGGGCTGTCTGGAACGGAGGCTTCTGCTTCTCTAAACTTGGAAACGGGACTCTCCTGGAGCAGAGAACTCCCCTGTCATCCAGGACGGCAGCGATGCCCGGAGGACTCTCAGCTCCATCGCCGCGGAAATGGCTCATTCATGAAGGAACGGCCACTTGGAGCATGTGGGGTGCACGCTGTGCGTTCCTGACCCCGTGCTTCCGTGTCGTCTCAGCTCTTAATTCTATTAGAGGTTTAGGTGCAGGATTACCAGTGGTACGAACACTTTAAGCAGCATACATATTTCACAGTTCAACACGGTAGTAAAGATTCCGTATTCGGAATAACAGATACTCCAGGAACAGCCGAATGACTGGTGAACAAGGCGACATCAAGCCTCGATCTAAAAATCACTATTGTTTCTTCAGAAGACAACCTCTCTTTTCTTGGGGTAAAGGAACAGTCTTTTCCACCTTTGGACATATAAGTCCCCAGAAAAGTGCACAAAAAGAAATTTGTTAAATGATGGAAAAGGGTCTCCTTTTTCTCTCCCAATGAAATACAGCGTAGTGAATGCAACAAAGAAATAGTTATAAGAGGCCAGATAGTAGTTGTGAAATAACTGAGTCCTTAGAATAGTCCAAACTTAATTCGTTGAGGGATGTTTATAGATTGATCTCTCTCTCTTTTGGGCGCATTTTAACTCCTTCCTGCCCTCAGCCTCTCAGTCCGCCCTCTGGAATCAGCGGAGGCGATGGAGCGCCCAGGCCTCCTGGGGTTGAGTTGGGAGGGAGCGTGCCTGGGCTGGGCAGTGCACACCGCCTGCAGGAGGAAGGTGGGGGGCAGGGGGGAGAGCCCCAGCAGGCTCCTTTGGGCGAGAGGAATGGCGCACAGGTGCAGTGCAGCAGGGCGCACCTGCACGGGGCTCCGGTTCAGGAGGCCGCTCTGTACCTGGGGACCTCCCGGCGCCCTGCCTGCTCTCCCGGTGCCCTGCCTGCTCTCCCTGTCCCTGGCGCAGCCGGTGGTGAAGGATGGACGGCAGCCAGGGCTGGCCCTTGGCTCTCTGCTCCACTCATTCCTGGTGCAATTGAACCAGAATGACTGCGGTTCCCCAGACAAATTGGGCTCCGGGTGGCAGCGCTGGCATACATCACCCTGGAGGCGTCTGGCTCTCTCCTGGCGGCACCCTCGGCTGTGAGCCACGCAGCCTCCCCGAGAGAGCGATGCACTGCACACCTGCGGGGTCACCTGGCCTCGCCTGCTCGCCTGTCTCCTTAAAGTGGACGCAGCAAGGTTTAGGGGCAAGGAAACCCAGGTGCTGACGTCCAAATGATCCTTTTCATGTCGGCCCCCGTGTCAGGAGGTGGCTCTGTGAGGCCCAGCGCTCGGTGAATAATTCCTCAGCATCTGGAAAGAAAACCTATTTCGTGGTTCGGTTCAGGGCATTGTGCACGGTCGGGCCACAGCTAACTCACATTTTTCACATATAATGTTAGGATGTGTTAACATTTAACATGCTTGTGCCGGAGGCTTTGAGTCCCTCAGCAGTACCTGCGGGTGCCTCCTTTCATTGCTTTTACAGTGTTGTTTGTCCCCATTAAAATGTGTTTATTTTGTTTCAGGTTATTTGGTTGCATAAATCATTTGGAGGCAGAAACTCTGGCGTTTTCCTCCTGGTGGAAAATACACACAGGACGTGTTACTCTATGCTTATATTTAAAGACACACAGGAAGCGTTACTCTGTGCTCCAATTTAAAGATGAAAGTTCAGGCACGGCACACGCCTGGCTGGGCCCTGCGCACTTAATGGCCAATGCCATCACAAGTAGCTCTTCGCCCCTTTGATTCATAAATGCACTGTATCAGCAAGTCCTTTCACACATGTAGGCTAGGCTGGTGTGTATTTTTAAAATATAAATATAAATACAGTGGGGCCTTGACTTACGAGTTTAATTCTTTCCGAGACCGAGCTTGTTAAGGAGCTCGTTAAGGAGCTAGTTAACTCAAATTACTCTTATCAACTCAATGCAAAAAATCGGTCGAGAGACAGCTGGTATCTCAAAAAACTCGTTAGTCGGGACAATCGTAAGTCAAGGCCCCACTGTATTTTTCTAGACACTTTACCCATGGTATTTCACTGGAGGTAAATATGATGTCCATTTCCCACATTAGAAACTGTAAATGACTTACCTCAAGTCACACGGCTGGTGGGTCGTAGAGCCAGAATTTGCATCGGTCTCTCTGGTGTTTCATCCTGCCGACTCTTCACTGTCTTGTGTAGGAGTAATGTTAATACAGAGCAAATCAGATTTTCAATTTGATACGTGATAGGAAACAGCAGTGAATGTGTTTTTAAAGTGACTACTTTCCTTTGTAAAGATCTGTTTGTAACTTAGATTTCCTGTTTATTTTCTTCCAATGAGGTACACCCATAGTGACTTGGCTTGTATTAACAGATGTCTGATATAGATATGCTCTTTAAAAAAATCCTATATAATAAAAGGCTAATATGCAAATTGTCCCCTTGACCAGGAGTTTGACCCACTGGGAGTTTGACAGTTTGATCAGGGGGAGGGGCCAACCAGCCAACTGCCTGCGGCGGTAATATGCAAATTGTCCCCTCGACTGGGAGTTTGACCAGGGGCGGGGCTGGCCCGCCAACCGCCCGCGGTCCCTCCCCCCAGCTGGCCCACCCCGATTGGTCCCGATCGGGGTGGGCCAGCCGGACCCCACCAGTGCACAAATTCGTGCACCGGGCCTCTAGTGTGTGAGTGTGTGTGTGTGTGTGTGGTATATATATACACACACATTCATTTATATATTTATTGATCTTTTTTGATAGGGAGAAGGGGAGAGAGAGCAACATCGATTGGCTGTCTCCTGCACACCCCCACCCGTTACTGAGCTGGAGCCCACAACCTGGATAGGTGCCCTAACTGGGAATCGAACTGGCAACTTTTTGGTACACGGGATGATACCCAACCAACTGAGCCACAGTGGCCAGGGCTGGTTAGATATGCTCTTGTTGGTAGTATTTAACACGTTAAGCGCCCAGCCTGTTTTGTCTTCCGGACGGAAAGTATAGTGTCAGTCACCAGTGACTGACTGGTTGCTTAACGTGTTAATATTCAAAGTTTTTAGGAAGTATGATGCAAACGTAAATTAAACATTTGCATAGTTCAGGCATAAAAACATAAGATACTGTTGCCTTGAGGTGTTTCAAGGAAGACAGCGCTCCTAGCACCACAGTGTTTGTAGCACCCACTCAGCCTGAGACGTGTGGTCCGAGTAGGTCTGGTCTCTAACACAACGCTGATAAGCAGTTCCTGTGGCAGAGACGGAGTGGCGTTGATGAGGATGGCAGTGATCCATTTTTCCGACGTCAATCATGCTGCAGAGAGAAATTAGCAAAGGTAATTGGACTGACTACCCATGTACATTAGGGTCGTAGCCCGGACCCATGAGCACTAGCCTTTCTCACAGGCTGGACAGCAAGACACATCTGTTCCAAGAATACAGACTGTCCCTGACATGACATAATGGGACTGTCACAGATACAACACACAGTGCAGCTTTTCCTTTTAATCACAGTCTGAGAAAAAAGTCTTTTCTCGCAGCTGGTCCTCCTCCTCGTCCATTTGCCTTGACTAGACCTCGCGCCCAGGGGTTGGAGGCGTGGAGACAACAGGTGTGGTCTGTCCCTCACCGCGACTGTGGTTCCCCCATTTAACAATCGCTGTGCCGTGAACATGCGTCACACCAACAGGGACGCCGTCCCCCTCGTGTGCGGGAGCCTTCCAAGCCGGCTAGGCCCTAGGTCTGAATGAAGTCGCCCGCTTAAACAAGTCAGGTTATGGAATTACTCTCGCTGGAAGAATAGATTCTAAAGCCGTGATGAGTTTCAGGCGGCTTAAGTGTGGCTGGCAGGCAGCCATCCATCACGGCCGGCGCGACATTGATTTCTGACTCAGAGCAACGGAACAGCGCCGGGACTGGGTGTCCTTAAGGAAACATTCTATAGCATCGACGTCCTTTGTTTTTTAAAGAGCCGCTGCCAAAACTCTGTTCGAATTGAATTTTGATTGTGCTAATGAGGAAATCTATTCACCGTCAGAGTCAAAACATTCATTATTGTGAATTACTTGAGCAACTATTTTTGCCGCTTGTTCTTAAAGACACGAGTTGTTTTTTATTCTAGACGAGACCTCTTTTTCTTTTAAGCAAAAAATTACAAAATTCCACTTAATTACATTTAGTGGGAGCACTCAAGCTTCCTCATTGTGCGGGTTAAATGGACCATTGAAACAAAATCAGTTGATTTGGCTCTCTCTCTCTCTTTTTTTTTTTTGTCCTACATTTTCTCTAGTGATTACGGCTCTCAGCGACTTGCCAAATTGATGGGACTTGGCAGGAGAAAAATAAGCAGTTGAAAATTCGGGAGATGAAGTTTTCTGGGTTTCATAGCATCACTGCGCTAAACTGCTGACGCGGAGCGAGACACGCTCACCTGTGGCCTTGCTGTGTGCGCACGCGGGTGGTTTTGGGGGGCCGTGGAGCAGTGGGATCCTTGCACTAAGCGAGCTGCTGGACGCAGCAGATTTTTCACTCGTGACTTGTGTGATTCCCTTGGCATTTCCTTGTCTAAAACCATATCCCACTTCACCATCATATTTATTATTATTACAGCAGATCCAGGTGCACGCGCTGTCAGACTCACTCCTCCTCGACGCTGCCTGGTGGGCCCAGGTGTGGCTGTTACAATGCTTCTGTCCCTCAAGGCGACTCAAAATCCTTCAGTGCTTCGTTACTTTATTCTTTTCACTGGTGTCCACTCTCTGCGTAAGGAGGGCTGACTGTAATGAAAAAAGCCAGATCTGATGGACAGCGTCAATGATCAGTTGTCCGACCCCCTGGCCTACGCTAGCTCTGGCCACAGAGCAGTACTGCCCGGGAAATTGGGGTCAGGCAGACCCATGTGTCCCCCACAGTGCGGTCCCCTGTCTTCCTACCATGCCAGCTGCAGGGGCCTGAGGGTCGCTTCACGCTGGTCCCCAGCCGGCTGGGGTTCTTCATCATCTCACACACTCGGGCTCTCCATGCCTGGTGTTAAGATCCACTTTCTTCCCTTCCTGACACAGAATTTAAACATACTCTTTTCTGTCACTTCCACAATGTCAATATATGACTAGCTGACTAATCCGATGAATTGGTTAAAGAGGATGTGTTCACTGATTAAAGGTAATAACTTGCATCTGAATTAATTCTTTCATTGTTTTAAACCCAATAAACGAAGAATCCAAAAGAATATTATTGTGAGTTGAACTTAAGGGGACTAAACTATATAAATATTTCCTAACTCTTTCTTAATTTGCCTTTCTTAAGGACTGTGTTAGGCTAGGCTAGATATATTATCTTTAAAAAGTGGTGTTGTGACCATTCTGTCCTGCCATGCTGTCTGATTGGTATGCCAGATTCTCATTTGAATTCCACATTTGTTTTCTTTTAAGATGAAAAATGAAGTGTAATTATAAAAAGTGTCTTTGAAATTATAAACACTTTATGAATATATTCCCTCTATCATCAAAACTATCATAAAAGGAAGAGTAAAATTAGTTTGTCATCTTGTTGATCTTCCTAACTTTGTAAGGAATAAGTTTACAGTGGTTGCTTTAATAATACAAGCGATTGCCCAGCCAGCATGGCTCAGTGGTTGAGAGTTGACCTATGAACCAGGAGGTCATGGTTCGATTCCTGTTCAGGGCACATGCCTGGGTTGCAGGCTCGATCCCCAGTGTGGGGCATGCAGGAGGCAGCCGATCAGTGATTCTCATCATGGATGTTTCTATCTCTCTCTCCCTTTCCCTTCTCTGAAATCAATAAAATATTTTAAAAAATAATAATGATACAAGCGACCTACGCACCATGGAGCCGCAGAGTGGAACAGGTCACCAATCCCTCAGGCTCGGAAAGTCTAACCATCCCTGTCCACACTCAGAGGAGATACATCTCACATTACAGTTGTCATCTCTCACCTCTCACAGGATCTGCATGTTGAAATATTATGGTAAAATAATATCATTTCTCTAGTGGGTGAGGAATTATTGTGCCCTGGCCAGGAATTTTTTCGGGGACTGAGACAAATCCTGCTGTGAGCAGTTTTGAAAATGCTTTACAGGCCCACGTGCTCACTGGTGCACATGCCCCCAGAGCGGTGCCTGCCTTTCCCATGCAGTTCACAACCCCCTTCTGTTCCAGTACATTCCAATACCAACGCTCCGCATGCCGCAGAAATCCGAGTCTAGTCCCCAGTAAACCCCAGAGCATGCAGTCCCCTTTGCATTGCAGCACAGGTAAGATAAAAATCTCTGACTAAACTATAATATTCTGTGCAATTTTCCATGCGTACTAAGTATTCAATCATGCCGTTGATGTGTGTTATGTATATTAGCACATAAACAAAGCCGCTGTATCTGATAATATTACAGGATCTATAAGCTCTCTCTTCCCATGAAAATTATGATACTGTATTTTTCTATTCAGATTACAAATAACAAATCACATGCGCGCGCGCACACACACACACACACACACACACACACACACACCCCTTCTTCACCACCACCTATACGCAGGGATCATGTAGAATACTTCCACATAATAACCCATTCAGTCTTCATAACAGCTGTGAGGCATGGCTTCCAGTCCCCATTTGAAAGATGCAGAAATGGGCTCAGAGAAGTTAACCGACCTACCCAAGGTCACAGAGCAAGAGCCTAGGGCTCAGACCCCAGCCTTTCAGAGCCAACTGCTAGATGCCCTCTGAGAAAAGAGAAAGACAAAGAAGCATTAGATCAGAACTGATATAAACAGGTGCTATTTCCTCATAGAAATAAAATTACAATATGAGATGATAATCCTTATCACAGGGCTGAAGCTAAAGGAATCTGGAAAAATAGTAGCGTGCTTAATTCACTGTTTTATAGACTAGAACTCATATAGTCCTGGGACATCTAAAAAACTGACCTAACATAATCATCTCTATGTTACATATTTTACCACAATAAAAATTTTAATTTAAAAAATATGAAAAAAAGGACAAAAAACAGTCATCTGGATTCAGTTCTATGTAGGTTCCCATTCCGAGGTCCTCCCCAGCTACCACAGCCTTCTAACAGGGCCCCTGCCTTATTTCCATGGAAACACAAAGGGGCAGGGTAAACAGGCAGAGGGACACTAAACGCGAGGACACAGAGTTCAGCAGGTATTTGCAGGGAGACGGGGTCAGGTATCCTCTACCCAGGAAGTCTTCTGAGCAGCGCTCTGTCCCGGGCACAGCGCAAGGCAGGAGAAGCCCAAAAGATGAAGCCAGGCCCTCCTCTTTGAAGAGGTTCCATCTGACAGAAAAAAGGCCATAAAAAGCAGCAATCACCAGATCAAATATGAAGTGCTCTCAGTGTGAGTCTGAAGGGCAGAAGGCCTTAGAGGCGATGCTGGGTGAAATAGACAACAGCCTGAATTTCCCCGGAGGGACACGCCAGAGCTGCACCAAGGAACCCACCCTGAACAGCACCCAATGCTCCTTGCTTTGATCTCTCATTTAGGATTCCTGCACAATGTCCAAAAAAAATCAAACAATTTTAAAGCTTTGACTCGAATAACAGCAAATATCAAAGGTCCAAATGGACACAATCAAGGCTTTCTGTCCCAGCTATAAAAATCCATCGATTGCTGTAGCCATGATTGCGGGAAGGGCTGCTTGCCTTTTCATCTGGGGGGTGGACTGGGATGTATCACCGAGACTGAATCCTCTCCCACAAACACATCACATACGGTACATACATATCATACATCAAGGCCTCGCACATCACGTGAGAGCCGCCCTTCAAAGTATGTGTACTGGACAGGCTGCCTCTGTTTCAAGGGCACGGTCACTGCCACTCTTAGAATCCTCTGGGGGTGACTGTCGCCCCCCCAGCTCCCCAGCTCCTCGGAGAAGCAGCCCCGCTGAATGTCACCGGACACTGACGGTCAAAGGGGTCTCTTCTGCCAGCCAGACACATGTCCCTCCCTCCTCCCACCTCTGCCTCTCTGCTTTGATTCCTTCAGCCTTTTGGTTTGTTCTCAAAACTAGTTTTTTATTCTCTGGTATTCCAAGGGGGACCGCTAGTTAAACCACCCTTACTCATAGCGCGTGGGCACGGCACCCAACACCCACCACCCACCACGCTGCCTTCCTCCTCATGCTCCAGCCCAAGGACCCCCCGCCACGCAAACTATGACTGGCCCCCAAAACTCAGTACTTGCTCTTTTGTCTTCTTCAGTCAGGAACAATGGTCCCACACAGAGTCCAGGCAGCGCCTTTATGTATCGCTTGTACCACTCAGCTTTGGTTTTAAAGTCTCACAGCAAGGCATTCATTAGACCCTATCCAACGTGTCAATATGTCATCAGAATTCCTTCAGGTGATTAATCACTCACGAAAAGTACAATTTTCATCGATGTGGTTTTTTTAAAAAAATATTTTTTAATAGTCCAAGTAATGAGAATAGTGAAGGCAAGAAAGATTTCTCCCTATTACATAGCTCATTATTGACCGGAATTCCAAAACCACAGTAAGTGTGTAATTAATAACCCCTTTACATTATTTTATTTTGTGACTGAACTACCACAATGATATTTAATTATGCCCCAACCCAGAGCACGACATTGCTACTGGCAGGTTATGAGATGTTCCTTAGAGCTAAGAAGTCTAATTACAAAGGCCTTCTCCCAGGGGCTCACAGAGTGTGGAGAGGAGGGAAAAAAGGATCTTTCTGGTGTCAGAAGAGGGGCTTTAAAACAAAGCACGTAGCACAAAGTCAGATGGGTGGGGCACAGTGTAGGTGGATCAGGTGGATGAACACAGTGTAGGCGGATCAGGTGGATGGGCACAGTGTAGGAGGATCAGGTGGATGGGCACAGTGTAGGCAGATCAGGTGCAGGAAACAGTGTAGGCAGATCAGGTACAGGAAACAGTGTAGGCGGATCAGGTACAGGAAACAGTGTAGGTGGACCAGGTGGATGGAACAGTTTAGGTGATTTGGGGTAAGCAGGTGTGGGAGGCGGGGCCTGGAGTAAGAGGAGGAAATGGGAAGGTTGGTCTGGTGCCACACTTGGGGCCTTGATATGAAATATTAACATAGTTACCTTTTCTCCCCCCCAGTGTGGTTGGCTGCAACTGAAGTTTCATGGTTGCTAATATGTTGCTAATATGTTAGCATTAATCTATAATAATAAAAGTGTAATATGCAAATCGACCGAACAACTGAACAGCAGAACTATTGGTTCTGCTATTGGTTGGCCATCGCCCCAGGATCACAGGGGAAGGGGACCCGCGATTGATCACCCGAAAAAGAAAGGCCCAGGCCACCGGCGGCGGGGCGATTGATGGGGAGCTCCACCATCACCCCACAGAGGGAGGCCCAGGCCATTGGCCAGCGATGCTGTGGTGGGTGTGCAGGGCTGGCAAGCAATCGCCCCGTAGAGGGAGGCGACTGGTGGCGGGGGAAAGGGGGGCAGCGTTGCACAGATGGCAAGCAGTGGCAGCGGAGGGAGCGGGCCAGCTGCCGGCAGCTGGGGGGAGGAAAGCCCTGATAGGCCCTGATCGCCGGCCAGACCTAGGGACCCTGCCTGAGGGGTCCCGGATTGCGAGAGGGCGCAGGCCAGGCTGAGGGACATCCCCTCCCCTCCTGTGCAAGAATTTCATGCACCGGGCCTCTAATATGTAATAATTAGATGTGGGAGCAGTAGATTTTTAAAAATTAGCTATCTCAAACCAAGTACCAGTATAATCATCTAATTATCCTTTGAAGAATTTACACAGAAATGCTTTAAACAATCACTACTTTACTGCCATGGGGGGTGGCTCCCAATTTGTAGTTTAGAACTAATAGCACTTATGGAAATAGAGCAAGGAGAACCTTAAAAAGCACAATTTATTTATTTCTTCAGAAATTCTAGAGTAATTTTCAGAAAGTAAGCAATCACTAATTACATTTAAATTCAAAATTAATATGTAGTTTCAGTTAATAAAAGTGGTAAAAATAATATTCATTTCCAATTTATTCATATACCAATGGAGCCTAGAGGTATTTCTTAGCGTCAATGCCAAACATTTAGCTACCTTCAATCAGAAAGATTGCTTAGCTAGGGAAGTAGTTATCACCTTTATCAGGATATGATGCCCTCCTATAAGAATACGAGGCCTCGTCCCATCAGCCTGGAAGAGCACATCAATTTTTAGAGGACATCAGCTATATATATAAAAGCCTAAGCAACCGGTCAACCAGCGGGCTGGTAGCTATGACATGCAATGACCACCAGGGGTCCGACGCTCAACACAGGAGCTACCAACCGACAGCAACTTTGCAGAGTGCCCTCTTGCACACTCTGGGACCCCTCGGGGGATGTCGGACTGCCAGTTTTGGCCTGATCCCCGCAGGCCAGGCTGAGGGACCCCACCTGCCGGAGGGACCCCGCTCACTCTGCAGATGCCCTTCGAGCCCCAGCGCCACCCCAGGTGTGGCCAGCCAGGAAGGGACCGCGGGAGGTTGGCTCCAGGTTGTGCTGAGCCCATCTCGCTCAGTCCTGCCCTGCCGGCCACCTTCTAATTAATTACCTTTTAATGTGCACGAATCTGTGCACCAGGCCTCTAGTGATAAATAATGCTTTAGAGGACATCATTGTAGCAAATGAGCCTCTAAAGAGCGTGTCTACCCGATTACTCTAGCAACAACATAGAGCAGTATTTGAACTGCAAAATAGCCATTCTTCATGTAGCTTTATAGTATGCACAGGTGTAACATCAAAAGCCCACTGAGAAGTAGGTGCTACGATGACAGGTGGACCCGAGGGTTGGGTCAGGTGGAGAAAAGCCAGGGGAACTTTGTCTCTAGGCCCCTCACACCAGCCTGGAGGCCCCCATGCTACCTGCCGATGAGCCCTGTTCCACCCTGCGTGTCGTTCAACATTTAATGAGAGTCTAGCCCAGGGGTGGGCAAACTTTTTGACTCGAGGGCCACAATGGGTTCTTAAACTGGACCGGAGGGCCAGAACAAAAGCATGGATGGAGTGTTTGTGTGAACTAATATAAATTCAAAGTAAACATCATTACATAAAAGGGTACAGTCTTTTTTTTTTTAAGTTTTATTCATTTCAAACGGGCCGCATTCGGCCCGTGGACCATAGTTTGCCCACGGCTGGTCTAGTACCATGTTAACAGCTAAGAAAAAGAGATCCAAGTTCAAGACATCAACAGTAAAAGAAAGTTAGATACAGAAAGCACGAAACCACTTATAATAATATAAAAAATACATCGTGTGGCCCAGTGGTTGAGCACCCATCCATGAACCAGGGGACACATGCCTGGGTTGTGGGCTCAATCCCCAGTGGGGTGTGTGTGTGCGGGAGGCAGCCAATTAATTGGTGATATTCCCACAGATATTTCTCTCTCATCAATGTTTCTAACTCTCTCTCCTCCCTTCCTCTCTCTCTAAGAATCAATACAAACATGTTCTTGAAAAACATGTCAATCTCAGGGAAGCCTCAGAAGGAAACTTCAACAAAACATTACTTTTCTCCTTCTTTCAGAAACTTCTCTGTTCAAACTCGACTTCCGTTCTTCCTACTACACCCCTGACCTTGGCGCTCACACACGTTGGCCTCACTCTTTATTGCGTCTACATTTTTCATCTGTAAACGTGCTCATCGACTTGTCAACCAGGCTTTCCTCTGAATCTTCCCTCTCAGCTGAAACTTTCTCCCATCCCATAATCATGTCCCATCTTGATGACTGGAATGTCTTTTCTATTGTCCTCTTGAAATTCATCCTCCTTAAAGTCCTCTTCGGTCACCATATGTGGCTAACACCCCCCTCCCTCCCCCGCGACGATCTTTCTTTTTCTCCAATATGTCTATCTTCTCTCTGGGAAAATTCCAATTCACCCCTGAGTCACTCCAGACACCTTTCCATCACTCTGTTCTCTGTCACTAGTCTCCTGGAGTCACACATGACCAGTTTTGCCATCTTATATTCCTTCCGTGAGGTCCGGAGCAGACATTCTCTGAGGTATTCTCATTTTAAGAGAATTGTTTTACAATGTTGAGCAAGCAGGAGAACACAGAAGGATTAATATACTCTATTCTCTTTCTTCCCCGGGAAAAGAGAGCTTCAAAGCATAGCCCACATTTTAGATTTGCTTTGAAATCTAATTTGGGGGCTATCACTTCTCACAAATTAGAATTTGCAACTAAATGGTTTCTTAAGATTCTTTTGGGCAAAAGATGAGAAGTCAAATTCCACCAGATGAGGCACAAGAAAATGCAAATATTAGAAAACTAACGATATCATCAAAAGAACATCCATCGTTTCAGGCACCAAGTCTTTCAAGTTCAGAAGGCTCAGTGTGAGGACTTGTCTCCAGTCCGCCGCAGACGCATTCTGAACTATTTCAGTGCGGAAATCAAGCATCTTGTAGGGCAAGGGAAGAGAAGAAAGGACAATAAGAAGGCTCAGTGTGAGGACTTGTCTCCAGTCCGCCGCAGACCTTTCTGAACTATTTGAGTGCGGAAATCAAGCATCTTATAGGGCAAGGGAAGAGAAGAAAGGACAATTTATCAAAGGCGGGCATGATGTGGTTCCCACAGATATCTGAATCAAAACCCCAAATGGTACATGTTAATGTTCCCTTTGTAAATCTCTTTTAAAAATGCAGAGGTACATGCATATCCAGGACGCCCTGTCTATAGATCCCCCTCCCAAACCCCACACCCCAGCTAAGTTATAATGTTTCTGGTTTCTCTACTCTGAGACCCACAGTGAATCATTATCATATACCAGTATATATGACATGATAGAAGGAAGAGGAAGAGAGAGGGAGAGAGATTGAAACATCAATGATGAGAGAATCATTGATTGGCTGCCTCCTGCACGCCCCTTACTGGAGATCAAGCCCACAACCCTGGCATGTGCCCTGACCAGGAATCAAACCCGGGATCCCTTAGTCTGCAGGCTGACGCTCTATCCACTGAGCTAAACCATCCAGGGCTGAGTTTTCATCTTAAAGCTACTTGTCCTGTTAGGATTGGGATGCAGCCAGCACCCAGCAGCCAGGCCAGAGAGAAAAAGAATCAGCTCTGGAAGCTCTCCAGGCCGAACTATAAAGACCTTTCCAGAAAGGCCCCGAGTGCTAACCCCAGCATCGGGCTCTAAAGGGGTCACTGACTCTTTTCCTAGGACACTCAGGCAAGGAAGCTGGTGTCCCCTGGGACAGATCAAACCCCTCCTGGCACTAGGACGGGACTCAGCTTCTCAGGAGGCACTGCGCCTCCGGGCGGGCAGGTAAGTGCAGGAAGTTGGGGTGCTGTTAGAACAGGAGCCACGGGAGATGGGTACAGAGTAGGCAGCTCCCCAAGTCCACTGATGGGAATGAAAGCTGTAACGGAATCATCCTCCTCCCTTTGGTTTCCAAACCACAAGACCAGCTCTATGGGGATCAGAAGCAAATCCCAGTAATTGTAGGAACCCCTTCACTTCAAATCATGACGCGGAAGAATGATCACTACGAGTGAAATTCTAAAGCCGGAGAATTATTAGAGACGAAATAACTACCAGCCTTCCTTGCATAGCCTAGTAATCATCTCTGTAATATAACATTAAATCCGCACTTCTGGAGTGTTCGGATCTCTACATGCATTGGAGGTTTTCAATAGCTCTCCGGGGGTGGGGCAAGAGGGCTCAGCATGTCAGAGGCAGCAACCTTTTTCGTTTTCTTTCCTTGTTTTTTCAAAAGAATGAGTTACAGAGAATGCAGTTGCCTTTTTATACTTGTGACTTGATGCACATTGAAAGGAAATTAATTAGAAGGTGGCCAGGGGTCGGGAATGGGTGAGACGGGCAGACATGCCCTGGAGCCAACCTCCTGTGGTCCCTCCCCCGCTGGCCGCACCTGGGGCGGTGCCACAGCTCAAAGGGCTGAGCGGGGTCCCTCTAGCAGGTGGGGTCCCTCAGCCTGGCCTGTGGGGATTGGGCCAAAACCAGCTCTCCAACATCCCCTGAGGGGTCCGGAGTGTGAGAGGGCACTCTGCAAAGTTGCTGTCGTACAGGGTGTGGAACGCAAACGCAAGTGTGCAGTAAACCAGATTTGGGGCTGACAGTGCCCCAGCAACAACATAACCCACGGCCGAAGGTTGAATCGTGCGGCCCCGCGAGGAATTGGGTTCCCTCCTCTCTGGTTTTGGGGTGCGTCATCTGAGAACCGCCACTGCCAAGTCACTGCAGCTTGGCAGCTCCTGCGTTGAGGACCTGCCCCCTGGTGGTCAGTGCATGTCATAACAACTGGTGGGATGGTTGGACACTTAGCATATTAGCCTTTTAAAAAAAATATTTTATTGATTTTTTACAGAGAGGAAGGAAGACGGATAGAGAGTTAGAAACATCGATGAGAGAGAAACATCAATCAGCTGCCTCCTGCACACCTCCTACTGGGGATGTGCCCACAACCAAGGTACATGCCCTTGACTGGAATCGAACCTGGGACCCTTCAGTCCGCAGGCCGATGCGCTATCCACTGAGCCAAACCGGTTAGGGCGCATATTAGCCTTTTATATATATAGATAAGCAATACAATTCAAAAGACACTATGGTGGGCAGAAAACCTGAATCATAAACACAATAACAAGAATTCACCTCTTCATGCTTTGGCTACAGGAAACGGTCTTAGCCTAGCATGTATGGGCTGCTAACGGAATCCCAAAATATGAGCAAAGTTTCCAAACTGGGGCCCAAGTCTCTCTCCTGCTCTGAAGTGACCTGGCACGGGCGAGGACCAGGGCTGGCACCCCTGTGCACACCCTTTTAAGCTCCTCAGTCCTCATAGATGTCACATTTCTCATAAGAAATGTCCTCCTCCCGAAAGATCTGTAAGTCAAGGATGCGCGCACTCATGCTTTTGTATGTTCTGTTTGCTGCGTTGAATAAAACAAAGGGGTCAACTTTCAGCCTGTTTTCAGAAGTTGCATCAGTTGTTTCCATGACAAAGTTAAAGAGAACTGCACCCATAAATCCCAGGCAGCATGCATACAACGTTCCCCCACACAGTCTTGAAAGAAACTGCAGAAATGTCCGAGGCTCGGATGTTCAGCGAGACCTAAAAAATGCTCACGAGCCCAACAGGACTTGAGAAAGTGTCTACTGTTGGAACAGAACCAACTGACCTCATTTAAAAGCTGCAAGGTTTGCATTCAATCAGCCATTAAAGCTTGTTTCTGATTCATTATTTCAGGCTGGCCAGTCGTCGGCCAGAGCGATGTGTGTCAGAGGCACTCAGCAATGTCCCTGGTGGCAGAAATGACCTTCCCATGAGCAGTTCTGAAATCTGGGCCCCTGGCTAAAGCCAGTTATTGCAGAAGAGCAATGAATCCTGGACATCAGTGGCCTGTCTCCCCTCAGGCAAGACCGTGCATATTAAACCAGCCAGCCAGGCCAGGGCGGGCCTTCCAAGTTGAAATTACAAATACACCCACGACCTAGGATGTCTACACAGTTAAAGGGCCATCTGTGCCGAGCCACTGAAATGAACAAAGGGGTCAAGGAAGCGATGGAAATCCTTAAGGAAATGCAGGCCTTAGGCTGGCGTGGGGAAGACCGCACCACCGAGTTACGACATGCACTACTGGTGCGTTTTAATGATCCCGTGTAGAGATGTAGCTGTTCATTCTCCGAAATGATGTTTCCACAGGAATTCCTGTTACTGTGCGTTAATGCCAGACCCCTGAGAGAATTGTAAAAGCCTCTCTGGAAAGCCTGGGACGCTGACCATCTCAGCGAGGTCACGGCTGCTCTGGCTTTCAGGCAGTTTCTGAAAGTGGGAGCCAAGGACCCCTGGCCATGTTCGATGCGTGGATCCCAGGCCGTGCCAGGACCCCACAGGCCAGAACGCGGGGAGTGAGGCCGGGGCCCTACATGTCACAGGAAGTTCTAAGCCATCCTCCACTCGTTGGAGCTGTTGTTCTTCCCACTGCATAATTAAAAGGAAGAAAAAATAGAGCTAGCTCATCGCAAAAATTAGCCCTGGTGATGGTATGAAGTTATTCAAATGAAGTATCTATTCCTGCTTAGATATTTTTACGAAGCCCTCAAGGATGCTGCCTCTTATGAAACAGCGAAACCATCTCATTTAATGCGGCTGCCGTTTGCCTCACTGACAAAGGCACTTTTGGAAAAAAATAATGCGACGTAGGAAGAGTTCTCCTGCCCGACCCGGAGACGATCGCTATGAAAACAGTATGGCGTTGGGGCAGACTGGCCAGTGGACTCCCAGGACAGAGAGCGGGACAGGGACACCTGCCCGCATGGACATCGGCACCTGGCTCACGGGGACACGTCAGTGCCCGGCCGACCCCCGTCACAGAACGCAGCTGCCGGCTGACCGGCCCTCAACGTGAAAAGCAACACGGAGAAGAACTTACCTTTAAAACGGAGGGTAAGGAGGATCTCTCTTAACCAAGAAAAGTATTGCCTATCTGACAAAACACAGATCCCCAAAACAGCACCGTCGCCTGAAAACGAGCAATTGTGTGCAAGAAACCACATCAGCAGCAGGGCGAGAAGGCAGAGACGGGTCTCGTCAGCCTTCCTCACGACCCAGCGCTGGTTCTCTGGAGCCTGAGACGGCTCCTCTGCATCTACAGCAACTGTAAAAGCTGCAAAAACAGGCAGAAAAAGAGAAGGATACACACAAATCTTTCCCAGAGGGACAGCCACCAGCCGGCAGGCCCCAGTGCTCACCTCATAGGAACCTGTAAAAGCTGCAAAAACAGGCAGAAAAAGAGAAGGACACACACAAATCTTTCCCAGAGGGCCGGCCACCAGCCGGCAGGCCCAGTGGTGCTCACCTCATAGGAACCCAGGGCTGTGCAGTCAGCCTCCGGGAATCCGTATTTGGGCGGATTCAAATGGACCACCCAACAACACCGAGTGTTTGTGAGATGAGTTGAAAGGGAAACTTGCACAGAATATGCGAGGGAGTGGAAAATAGCAAAATATATATATTTATTGATTTCAGAGAGGACAGGACAGGGAGAGAGACAGAGAGAAACATCAATGATGAGAGAGAATCATCGATCAGCTGCCTCCTGCACGCCCCCTACTAGGGACTGAACCCGAAACCTGGGCATGTGTCCTTGACAGGGAATTGAACTGTGACCTCCTGGGTTCTAGGGTGATGCTCAATCACTGAGCCACACCAGCTGGGCTTCTTGCTTTTTAAATGAGTTATTTGCACATGAGTCCTCATTTTAGCACTTGCCTCTGGAAATCCCGGCATGAGACTTGGTTTGTTCAATGCTGCTCTTTGAAATTCCAGTGAATGGTGATCGATTTGACCATCACAGTAACGAGAAGGTTAAGGTACAATTTCATTTTATATCAACATCAATATAGCTACACGTGAAGTGAAACAACAAAGAAATGTTAACTCTGCCACCAAAGAAATAAATTTTGGTTATGACCTTTGGTTTATTATTCAGAAAAGGTATTAGCAGGTGTAATATTTTTGAGTCCACAACTTTCTTCTAGAAAACTGGCTTAAGAAAACGAAAATAATATCGCAGCACTGCGATGGGTTAGAAGGGGCAGAGCTAGAGAAAAACCCATGAGCACGCGTACAGGTCAGGATACTCATCGATGGAGAGGAAACGACTGGAAATACCCTTAAAAAATGGCAACCAACCGACCAACCAAAACCAAACCAAACCTGTGCCTTGCTTATTAAGATGATTGAGTCATTCTTTTCGTGGGAACATTTGTTTCAAGAATGAGTTCATCTCAATAACATATCCCTTTCAACATTAACCATTTCATTTTCCTGGCATCTCTATGAATAGTCCTAGTTTTGGAGATTTGAATGGTTACTTCTGGTTTTCTAGAGAGCAGGTGGCATTTTTTGCAAAGGGACCAATTACTCCCCCATGACCGTCAGTGTTTTCGGGCTGGACAGGAGACCATCCCTCAGGTCTATGCTATGCTCGCTCCCTCCATAATGGGGGGCACCTGCGGATTCATTTGTCTGCTTGCTTGCTTCTATCACCTATTTTCCAAAACGGGTTTCAGGAGAACCCCTGTGTATGAATCCACAACCTCCCACACACACTCATCTCCGTTTCTGCTCTGCTAATCAGTCGGTATTGGGCCAACTAGCTCATAGAGTGAAATCGCTTACTGCCCCTTTATTCCATTCCTAAAGAGAAGTAGTCCGTTTCCCCGGACTCCCTCCTTGCTCGGATGATGTTTTCCTTTGATTCTATTTTTTGGCAGAGTGTTCAGTCCGTCTCTGCGAGGAGTCAGTTTTACATACCCTCTCAGCTGTCAATCATCGGAGTGCAGCCACGTAGAACAAAGTGGAGGCAATGGAGTTGCTGGCGGGGCTGGCGAGGGAAGCTAACTGTGGGACACTCATCTTTGCCCCGTTGGGTGTACTGGGAGTAGACGAGTTTAAATGATAAGACTGCGAGGGAGAAAGGAAGAATTCTCTCACAGTGAATTCTTCATGACAGGCAGCTCCGAGTGCATGACAAGTGCAGTTATGGTTCTTGAAACTTGTCATCAGAGAATTGTTAGCAAGGTGGACGTAGGGGCCAGCATGTCAGTGAATAGTTCCCTTTCCTAGAAAAATTTAAGTGACACCTGGGTAGTGTGGCTCAGTGGTTGAGCATTGACCCATACAGTTTGATTCCCAGCACATGCCCAGGTTGCTGGCTCAGTCCCCAGTGTGGCGTGCAGGAGGCGGCCCATCGATGATTCTCTCTCATCATTGATGTTTCCCTCTCTCTGTCCCTCTCCTTTCCTCTCTGAAATGAATAAAAACATATTTTTAAATAAAGAGAAAAATTTAAGTTTCATTAATGGATTTAAATTGCATTGACTTTTTCAGCCAATGATTGGGATCATGGAAGTTAATCACTTGATATGAAAGGAAATGGAAAACCTTCCTTTGGCTTCTGGTTGTTTCTCGGTGACAATTCTGCTTTATTCTGGGAGTGATGTGCTTATCACAGCATTTGAGACGTTTTAGTAAAGAAGCTATCACTTGAAAGATGTGCTTTGAGATTAGGATCTAGTTTTCTCATGGATTGGAGAGTGTAATTCTCAAAAAAAATTGCATAAAGATTGAATTCCTGCCATTGAGGCAGTTGCCTGTGGATTTGACATGATAAATGCTGGTTGGGGACAACACATTGATTTTCATTATATGGTTGTAGGATGGAGGAGGCATGCTCTGCATATCCCTTTAATGAATTGTTTGCGTTTAAAAGATGTCTTTGGACCCTTCAAGCATAGGTGTGTGATGCTAGAATTTCATAGAAGAACAGATGAGAATTGTTCCCAAATGTCTCAACAAGCTAGGATGAGAACAGGATCCCACCCTGGGACCTGAATTTGCCTCGTGGAAGACCTCATCTGAAAAGACACAGGGAAGCGGTCTTTTGTTGTTTGCATAGCACTCATTCCCCTTGAGGTCGCTGCTGAGCGCAGTGCATAAGAACTGCATTGGTGCGAGGTGCTAAGTGTGTTTAGCAGTCCTGTGTGCAGTGCTTTCTATCTTTTGTCTCTTTGATGAACTCCTTGTTATCTCTTAGTTTCCAGATGAAATGTCACCTCCAGGGAGAGCTGTTTGCAGTCCTCAGTGGTTCCATTACCGCTCGGAGTTACCTGTTATGAGTACAGATCTTGGCCCTAGCCGGGCTGCTCAGTTGGTTGGAGTGTCATCCTGATGCACTAAGGTTGCGAGTTCAGTCTCCAATCAGGCACATGCAAGAAGCAACCAACCAATGCATAAAGAACTGAAACTACAAATTGAGCTCTCTCTCTCTCTCTCTCTCTCTCCCCCCCCCCCTCCCTCCCCCCCCCCCCTCCTCTCTCTAAAATCAGCCAAACCATAGATATCTACTTTACCCAGCCACAATGCGTTACAGTTGTTTATGTGCCTGTCTCTTTTCTCCAGCAGATAGTGAGCTTTTCATGGGCAGAGGCAACACCTCAGTCACTATTGCAGTATTAGCTCCTTAGTTAGGACACAGCATATAGGAGGTTAGTTGGGAACGTAAACACAGTTTCCTCTGTCTACCTTTAAGTAGTTCACCTGTAATGGTCCCCCCACTGCTGGGCTTGGATTAGACCGTGATGGGGAAAAGGAAGCCAGCATGTCTGAAGATCTTAGTGGATGTGCTGGATATAATAAAGAGACTGATTAAATATCCACCAGATAAGTGAAAGGGTTATCCTCTCCACTGCACCAGTAAGTCAGTTTAAAAGGATTTTTATTATACTTTGAAAAGGCAATATCAAGAATCCTTCTTTATTAGCACCTAAATATGTTATAGACCCTGATATAACCATTTATTGGTTTTCAGACGTTTGTATGATGGGAAGGCTGTAGGAGGAATGAGACTAGAAAGGGATTCTAATCTTCTGTACTTCTCTCTCTAATTTTCTAGATTCGTATCCCATACATGTTGGTAAAAAATAACTCTATCCCTTTATTAAAACTTCAGTGTCTTCATTTATATTTAGCGTGGTAGCGACGACATAAAATTGAAACCTGAGAGTTGTGAAGGACGTAAAGCCATGTTTTAATAGAGAAACGAAATTGCTCCTTCAGAGAGCCTATAAAACCGGAAAGCATTCATTATAAATGTAATAAAAACTTATGAGTCCCGTTTTATTAAAACTACACCCAGCTTCCTGAAGGGGCCGGATCAGTGAGAGGTAAACCAGTGACACTTTATGTCTCGCAACACACTTTATGGGAGATAAGCTATCTCCCGAAATGGGGTTGGTGGTTTACAGGGTCCCCATTGGACAACCATTCATGATTGAAGATTAGAATTTTTATTTCAGCCGGGTTTGCATCTTCTGATAATAAAGCAGCCAGATCAGGTTAATGGCAATAGTAAATTACTCCTCTAAGTTCCTTCAAGAAACAGGACAATAGCGGAAGGCGAAGCTTATGCCTCTACTAATTGGTGTGTTACATCATCCTGCCGTCGTGTGAAATCCTTCCTCAGGCCCAGTTATAGAGTGTCGTCGCTACAGGACAGTGACTTCC